TAACTCAGCTTTTACCAGGAAGGCCAGAAATATAGAGACTGCCCACAGGTTATTCATCAAACTGAATCAATGAAAGGATTTTGCTTAAAATTTCCTTTCTATTATTATCTTTTTTCCTCAATGTTCTAAGAATGAAAGATGCAAAATGAAAAGAAAACAAGAAAGGAGAGAAAGATACAGAGGAGAAAGAAGGAACAAAAATACAGAGTAGGGTAAACCTAGAGGGAAAGCCCTAAAGAAAGTGAGAAAGGATGTGAAGAAATAGGAAGACAATGGCGAGAGTAGTTATGAGAAAAACCTGGGCAGAAACCTGAGGTATTTGCTCAGATTGGAGGCAGTGGCACTCTTTGAGGCATTGTTCCTTCTAACCAGTATGTAATCAAACAACTTGTCAACTTGTCAAGTTTGCAACCTTTGAAATAGCAATCACTTTCTTTCTCAGAAAAAAATGATTCATTTTAACTGTAAATAAAAGCAAGTATTTATATAAATACTGCCTTGAGAACAATTTTATGGGACAATGTGTCTTTGAAAACAGAAAAAGATTAATAGTCATGGTTCAAAATGTATTCTAATAGTCATTTTAAAAATGGAGTTCAACTTTTCCAATCTGGTATGTTATAAAGAAAGATAAATTAAAATAAAAGAGATTAGAAAAAATAATCCAGGGTGGATTAAGTCCTCTCACTCCCTCCTTCCCCCCCAAAAAAAGTTTAAAACCCTTTATATTTAATACTAATGAATAGTTGTCTTTTCCTCATGATGACATCTTCAGATTAACTACATCAAATTGTCTAGCATGAAAAAGTAACATTTCAAAGAAATTCAGTGATTTTCAAAATATTTCTGGATTTTTTTAAACATACTGGCATACCTATAGATTACTGTATTTGAATTTATTGTAACAAAAAACCATCCTGAAATATGACTGTAAAATTAATCGACCCAAGTGTTTGGTTGTTTAAAAATATTGATTGTTTGTTTACTTAATTGCTTGTTCTTTGATAAACAAATAGAAATGGTAAAATGAGTAGTTTGGAAGAAAACATTTATCTACAAAAATGCTTTTTCTTCCAACAATCATTTACCTCATACTGTATCTCTAAATAACAAGGAATCACATTGAAATGAAGAGATGAAGACAAACATGCTAAACTTTAAAAAGGCTGTCAATCCAGATAGCTAGCTAGCTAGCTAGATAGATAGATAGCTAGACAGACAAACAGACATAGGGATATATGCCTTCAATAGTTGATCATGTGATTAGGAGCTAGACACACTTCGTTCACCAAATAGCCCTTTGTTACTTATTCAGCATGTAGTGTTTTCCACTTGACTATCACTACATCTGCAAGTAAAAGTACTTTCTGTATAATGATAATAAATAAACTGTATAGTGCTAGTTCTATGAATGGGGGCATGCCATAATCTACTGCAAGTTTCCTGTCAGATTTCAGCCTACACATATAATATGACTATATTTTGTTGCTATTTTGACTGGTTTGATTTATGAGCAAATTTAAGCAGGCTTCTAACTTCACATTCTTTAAAATTTATTAGTCATTTCACTATATAATTTAGATTTTTTTCTTACTTTTAAAATTGAGTGATTTGCAATTAATAGTTATGATATAAATATAGTCATCACATTATTGTCATCCTAATATCATAAATTAAGTGCTCACATATATGTGATGTTTTGCAAATTTTAAGCAGGCTCTGGTCTACCCTCCAGGAAACTTCCATCTAAAACTGACAATACAAAGACTTGAATATATGTAGAAAGATAAGGCAACTAACACACAATCAAATATTTTACTTCCATAAAATATGTATAATACCCCCAAATTAAAATTAATTGTATAGGTAGAAGGGCACAGGTATACTTCTGAGAGACTTCTAACATTACAAATAAGCTATATTATATTAAAAATGCTGTCATCTCTAAATCTACATACATAAAGTCATCCAAACTAAGGAGGTTAATAAAACCTTTAACATCTTTTAATAAACAGACATTAGTTTTTCTGCAGCAAATGTCAGTTACGTTGTATGCAAACTCCTTCAATTGCCTTTAGAAATTAACAATATGAAAAACAAAGAACTTCATTTTTCAGTGACTTATGTTAAGTGACATGTTTCCTTTATGGTTCCTTCATTATTTTTGCTATGGTGCCATTATTTTTCCTCCCTACCACAAACTACTCTAGAACTCCATTGCTAAAAATGAATTAACTAAATACATATATAAATATAGAGATGATACAACTCAACAATATTTGAACTGAGAAAACCAGCATTAGATTTTTAAAAATATCTGATAACTTTCTGAAATACATGTACCCTAGTAAGCTCAGTGTTAAGCTTAACTTATTTTCGGCTAGATATATAACTTAATTCATGCAAATATTCTACTAAGAAATCATAATTTAGGTATATGATATGGAAAGGAAAAGATAATTTACTTCAGAAATTTTCTGGCAAGAAAGGAAACAAAAGCTTGTTGGTTCTACCACCAAATGGAATCAGAAGGAATGGCTTGTTTTGAAGGAATGTTTGTCATTTAAAAATCTTCAAGGGTGAAGGAAGGAAATAGGAAGGAAATTTCATCAGGAGATTTTTTTTTCTCTTTTGGTATTGACTGTACTGACAGGTCTAAAACTCCCCATCCTGATGGACCAAACTAGGGTCTCCACTTACCCTTATTTATTATTCATTAGATGAATTAAGGAAATACTTGATGTGCTGCTCTTTGTACCAAGAAGAACTAATTAATTGGACATAAAGATAGGGTTATGCATTCTGAAGTGAGAAGAAAAATTCCAAAACTGTCTTGAAATGAATCAGTTCTAAAAGTAAAAAATACTTAGGTATTTTCCTAGAATAGATAAGTGATAATTTTAGGGTTTTTACAAAAATACGTGTATTATAAATGGTTTATATTAAAATCCAAAGTGTACCTCATTGACGA